AACAAGAGTTTCACGCAGCCTCCCCTTGGTTTACCACTGACTATACCGTCAGAGGTCCCAGAGACTCCGTGTCTATAGACTTCATGGACACTAAGGTAAAGAGTAGAAACGGAAAGAGCCAAGTTAGGGTGATAGTGGACAGATTTAGCAAGTTTGCTGTTTTTGTACTACTCCCTGCGGAAGCTAGAACGGACCTAGTGATTCGGGAATTTTTCAATCATTGGGTAAAGGACTAAGGGCATCCGTTGACTATCGTGAGCGATAGGGATACAAGGTTCACAGGTGATCACTGGCAACATCTTATGAGTGTGCATGGGTCCAAACTGACTATGTCTTCAGGTAGACACCCTGAAACATATCGACAGACCGAGCAGATGAACAAAGTGCTGCAACAAGTGTTGCACATGTACATCCAACCAGATCAAATAGACTGGGATGAACATCTAGCTAAGGTCGCTAGTGCCTTAACAATTCTGTGCATTTGGCTACAGCATGCATGCCCATGGAACTACATTTAGGTTGGCGCCCACGTAGGCCCATCGATTGTCTTAACTCTGATCAAGTGCAAAGACTTCCACCAGGGCCTAGAAAGTTTGCTGTGCAATATCAGAAAGAGTTAAAGAAGGCGAGAGAGAACATCAGAAAGGCACATCATCAGATGATAGAACAAGCAAATAAACACCACAGACCTTCGCACTTCGCTGTAGGGGATTTGGTCTGGGTAAAGTCAAAATAGTTTCTCCCAGAAAAGAATATCTCGCAGAAGGTATTGCCTTCGTATAGGGGACTGTGGCAGATTCTCGACGTGATTGGTGATGTGGATGGTCCTTCCTACGTGGTTGAGATTCCTCCGCATTTACACACTTATCCGGTGTTTCATGCCACTAAGTTGCCCCCTTGAGTTAGCAATGAGCTATTTCCATCTCGAAGATCTATGATTCCCCCTGATATGGATGGCAAATATGACGCATCGTTGCAGAGGATGTTTATATATCTGCAAGCACCGGTAGGCCCCAGCGACAATACAAAGTTAGATTCGCTTATCAAGAGCCTTCGGAAGATCGCTGGTTTACTAGAGAATAGCTAGTCGAAACAGCACCACACATAGTGTCTTACTATGAGAGAGCTAGGAGAGGAATAAAGATTGTAACTTTCTCGGAGGACCTCCAAATTAGGCCGGCCAGAGTCAAAGGAATTCCACGATGCAGACCCCAAATTCGAATTTCAGGGTCAAGGTCTCGGGCCAAGGGAGGCCAAGTCGACCAGTTCAGAAAGGTCACAGTCGGATACCTTAGGAGTCAAGTCCAACCGGCACCCGGTGAACAGTCACATCCCAGAGGTAAAGGTTGCGTGCTATAAGCAAAAGTCACGTCTCATATTGAAAAGCCATATCCCACAGGCCAAGGACACTTCTCCAGGCAAAAGTCTTGTCGCAGAGGTAGGAGTCACATCCCACTGTCAAAAGTCATGTTCCACAGGTGAAAAGTCGTGACTCACAGACCGAAGCAGCAGCACCCCAATGAAAATTTGGGAAAGTACCAGGCCTTGACATTGTCAAGCAAGCAGGCCGTGGGCATGTGGTACCAGGTCCACGTCAAGCCAAAGGAGCAAGAGGCTGGGACGAGTGGAGGTCAGTCCAAGTCAATACAAAGACTGGCCAGCCACATTTCAGGAGAGAATGCTCATTCGCGAGAACCGTGGAAGTGCTGCTGAAGCTCTTGTGCGCTATCTCCGGGTAGCATGTGCGCGAGAACCCTGCTGGGCAGCGCTGCACTGAGAGGAAAGGCGGCCATAGCCGCATAAGTTAGTAGTAGGTATAGAGCTGAGTAGCAGTGGATGTATTCAGAGTCAAGATTCTGAAGTGTATATATATATCGTCAATCGTCACAATATATATATATTGTCACATCACTACAAACTAAAAGAGCGCACTTTGCGGAACAAAGAATAAAAGCAAAAAACGGGCACAGTGATAACATGCAAAAATAAAAATAAAAATAAAAACAAAAAGAAAATATAAGGGCAGATTGAAACCATTAAATTTCTCATTCTTCTTTGAACTCCACCTCCACTGTGCCTCTCACGTGCAAGGCTCGCCACGTTGATGAAGTTGAGCACGAGCTGCCCCCATCCCCGTATGCCATAACA